CTGTATAATCAAAAGGAAAGGAAGACAAACTGGGATAGCTCCTTCCTGTAAGGAAATTATTTCCAATCTTTATTTAAATGCATTATAGCTTTGTATGCCTTATCCTTCAGATTTATCTAGAAGTGTTATTTGGCAAAGGACCTTGTTGAAGAGATAGGGACTGGGGATGAAGGCAAGAGAGGTAATGAGGTTATACGCAGCCATCCCTAAGGGTACGTAAGACCCAAAGCTGGAGAGAAGGCTCTGAAGTAAATTTTCCTTTGTTTTAATGCACATTCATATAATCCAAATACTGCTTTAGGTTTGTTTTTTGAGATCATACCCTGGCTTGTGTATATGGGAGTATGGTAAGCAGAGCAATTGCTCTCATTATCTGATGAATATGGTTGGCTCTTCCCTTCCAGGCAAAATTATGGGAGTAATTAAAACTTGCTCAGTTTGCAAATGGGAAACGTTTTGCAGCTTGCAAAACAGACAGAACATTAACAGCAGTTACTGGAAGGAGAGCCAAGCAAACGAAGGAAGTGCTTGCCTCCAAAACCATCTTTCCAAAAGGATTCAAAACTTTGTGCTTGAGCTAGCCTCCAAGAAAGCTATGGAAAGCTGCCGCGGTGTAGTTTGGTTGGGAATTAAGTTTCAGAAAGGTTTTGGGTTCAGGCTCGTAACTTCATTGAAAAATGCTCCTAGACTCAATGTTGACAGATCTTGCTAGTGGTATTCTTGCTTCTTGTCTCAAACCGATACTTGAAGCCATTTTGCAAGCAGGAAAGCATTGGAAGAACTGTCGCTTGCATGTATTTTTCAGCCACATCTGAAACAGTATTATGAAACTGGTCTGATTTGGGTTCCCACATCAAAATGGGAGTCAGCTGATCCAGATTCAGGGCGTCTCATCCAAACCGCAGCTCAGTTTTTAAGAGGGTTGGATTTGCAGCTCTAGTTTCAGTCCACTTATAATGGGAAAATGGCTGTTATTTTGGATGATCCCCAGGAATTTCTCTATCTTGCAAACCGCTGGTTTCCAGATTTGTGCATAGCGTAGAGCAGGGGTGGAAAACCTGACATCTTTTCAACTCCTATGTACGTTCTGCATAATCCAATTGCTTCTGCTTTTGGCCAAGTCAAATTTACTGCTAGAGGAAGGTGGAAAAAGTTGCATGTGTTCTTTCAAAATGCAAGGAAATTTGCATATGAACAAAGCCTGTCTCTTATGAACTCCCAAAGAAGCCCTCCACTCCCAGCCAGAGGGTCCACACCACACTTCAAACGCACCCATCCTAGAGTGTAAGGACCAAATATTTGTTCAAACCCTGGTTCTCATTATCATTGTTAGCCACAGAAATTTCCCCCTGCTGCAAGAGTTATGGCCTGATCTACAGAAAAGAAAATGTAATGCTTGCATAGCTTCTTAACAACATGATTTTTTTGTCATTTACTTGCTGTTCTGTAGTATAAAAAAGAGCAAACACTCAGGAAATGTTTTCGTTAATGCCCTTGTGGAACCATGCTCCTGCCCCTGGAAAAAGCCAGCAGCAATTAATACATGTTGCTTGCTTATGAGTAGGAGCAAGCTTATTTAAACAGCATGTTCAATGTCGATAGATGCTGCAGAAATACAGTATTTCAGACTAGAATGATTTGACTTGTGAAACTTCAAGAAAATGTTGAAAACCATTCTGGGGTTTGCTAAGGGGAAAATATAGACTTGGAACATGTATTGGGATTTTTTTTCTTTGTTTCTACAAAAAATGGCAGATTCTACTGCAAATATTCGAGGCTCACTGGTATTTATCACTACCTTATTGAATGATCATTTTCAGGTCCTTTAGAAAAGCAGGGAAAAGAAGGTTTCTGGTTTAAATTGGGGCCTCAAAGTGGCAGCTTTTCACGGAAAGATGTGATAATCTTTTTCCAGCAGAGAAAATCAGGTCATTTATCAGTCCTGGGCCCTTTTGCTCCAATATGGCACAAAGAGGTACTGTGAGCAGGGTTCTCCCAAAAAAGCAGATGATGGATAAGCCTGCATCCTCGCTGATGTGAATTCCTGACCTAGTTTCTGTAGCAGACTAGCTCAGGAGCATGAAAGAGTTGCCAGAGATGGAGAAAATGCCTTGCAAGCAGGCTGGCCCTTCAGCGCATGCAAACATAAGGCAAGCATCACCGTGCCGGGGAGAGTCACTGGGCACGTTGCAAACTAGCCTGCTCAGTCCCGGTCCTCCAGGGATGTTGCCCCAGAATGCTGCTGCATAGTTTAAGGACTGGTTGATGAATAAAAATCCCAGCTAATGTGATAGATGGGGAAGAAAGTCTGGCAGTCACTGGCTGTAGAAGGAAGCAGGTGGTGTTTTTTAACATTTTCCACCAATTCCACTATTTTTTTTTATTTATTTTCCAACTTCTACTCTCTGCCCATCCTCTTGCCTACATGAGAGCCTCAGTATACACTAGTTTGTCCCCTGGGCTTGCAAAGAGCTGGCACATCCTTCTACCCATCCCATTTGGGGTTTGGAAAACAGGAGATTAGTGAGATCCTTGCCCTTGCAAAAAGCAGCAGCTGGGCTGTGGCATCCCCATTCTACCAAAGAATGTTTCCCAGAGTAGCAGGCACCCAGTGTATTCTGTTGCATGGCAGTGGGAAAACAGGATCTCATGCTGATGCTTTTAGCTATCCCCAAAGGCTGAGGTGAGGATTCATGGCATCCATAGGAGCTGCTCCCTCCTTGGGGAGGGCGGTGAGCCTCCTCCAAACCAGAGCGCATAGAGAACTGGGGAATGAGATTAAATGTTTTTGATAGTATGAGTGTAAATAGCTCCTGAGTCAGCTGCCCTGGGGGCTGGAGGCTGCTCCATCACTTAAGATCACTTGGCTCAGTGCTTGATGTGCTCTTCCATATGTAACTGCTAACTCAGGGCCGGTTTATTGGGGTTTTACATGTGCGTTTGCATGGCAGGGAGGATTAATTCTTTCTGATGCAGGGGTCACTGGATGGAGCCATGCAGAAGGTCTCCTGAGATTGAGGGTTCAGAAAGGCGCAGGGACGTCAGACACTCATCTCCAACATGAAAGCAAAAAGGGAAATAAGTGCTTTATCTTGCTTCTCCCCCTCGACTGCCACAAAAATTCCAATTTACAGAAATATGTGGATCAGTTTTGGCCTTGCAATGAACAAATCTACTGTCTTGCCAAGTGAAAGTGCTCCTTCAAGTGCCCGTTTCATGCTCCAGTTTATCCCATCCAACTGTGTTTCAATCCCAGCAGTGACCTCTCCTCTGACAATAGGAGGCTGTTGGCCCTAATTCAGCAAAGCACCAGGTCATCAGCAGTGCTCGCACATTCAGGGCTTGCTCCCTTCTTAACATTGTATTGAGCGTGGGTTCTTTGAGCGATGAATGTTTGGAGTGAGGGGACAAGTTGGTTTTGTTCCTGTGTATTTTATTTGCTGTCCAGACTAATAACAGGTTAAAGATGTCCTGCTGATTAGCCATAACATCCCAGCAGCATTATTTGTTCTGTCACAGTCGAGATTGGGGTCCTGGGGTGCTACGGAAAGAAGACACTAACTCTGCCATGGAGAAGGAGAAAGGAGATGCTTCTGGTCTTAAGAAAAGGGGTATCAGTGTTAAAGAGGCCTTAAAAAAATAGACTTGCAGCTGGTGGTGTGGATTTTCCCAGCTGATGAGAGCAAGATGGCTGAAAAGCAAATATGGGGAAAATTATAATTTAATTGAAGGTCTTGAGTTAAAGAAGGAGGTGCATAAATGCTGATGATGTTTTTGAAACTAAGTGGAAGCATCTCCAGGCATCACCTTTCCATGGGAGCGGAGCAGAGCAAACTGCTGGCCAAAAAGTGGCACCAGCTTTGCTTTTTGGGTGTCAGGGCACGGGCTGGCGGATCTGACTGCATGGCAAAGTGTTTAACTCGCCCATCTCCAGGACCTGTGCTCTATGGAGGGATGCAGGTTAGAAAGTCCACATAAACCTATCCAACACTTCACATCAGTCCATTTGCTTTCTGTCACAGGTCCTTCCCTGCCAAACTCAGGGGAGGAGTTCCTTGCTGCTCCCCAGCCTCTTGCCATCCAGCAGCACGATAGGAATAAATAAATCAGTGCTGCCCTGTGGTCCACATCTGGCCAAGTGGGCTCTGCAAGCTTCATAAAATATTGAAAGCTCTTTATTGCTCAATATCTATCTGTATATATATATTAAAACACATATAAAAAATAGATGTGCATGTATATATGTAATATATCTGTAAAAGAAGCTTGTCTAGAACCACAGCATGCAGCTTTTCTCTGTCAGCAGGCTTTCCACAAGGCTGGGCTTACACATGGGGACCAGATGTGGCCATCCAAAAAGGTCTGTTCACTTCTATACCCTCTCTTTTTTCCATCCTACTTAAGTACAGCATGAGACATATGGGCCAACCATCCATCCGAGGCTGAGCGGAAACCAAGAGTGATTGCTTACAATGCCATAAATAGCTAAATAGCCATTTTCAATAGTAAATAGGGATATGTGAATTAAGAACGAACTCTCTGAGCGGTTGGTAGACATTCCAGTTTCTTGTTTTAATATCTTCATGTGGCTTTTTCCCCCCCTCCTTCGCTTCTCTTGGTGGGAGGTGACACGTTTAACAATGCTTCCCATGAGCAAGAGGCCCACTGTAGTTATCTAAAGCAGAATGAAAAAAAAAAAAGGGGGCTAGGACTCTTCAAAAGGAGCCTAGCAGAACTAGAGACCTCAGGCATCTTGGGAGCCATATATTCAGTTCTTTGAGGGGACCCTGAAAAATCCCATCCACAAGATATTGGCAGTTGATGCAAGGACTGGGGGATGCGTTGCCAGCTTAGAGCTTTTGTATGAACTTTTAAAGCTTTCATGAGCTGTCTCAGCCAGCCACCCTTCTTCTTGACAGCAATGAGAGCTGTCCAGGAAGTCAAATTACCATCCCATGGAATGAATTTTTTTGACATTTTTCTATTTGTGTTTGTTCCAGATCAGCAAGAAAAACCAAAGTTTTTTCACTGAGTGGAAGTTCCTGTGAAATGTAGAGTCAGAAACATGGGAGTGACCTTATTGAAGCAGACCACTTAGTTTCAGTCTAAACACCAGGTGAAGTGATAGAAAACATAGCTGTCAGAATGAAAGGAAAGGGTAGAATAACCAACATGAATAAAATGAAATAAAGCTTTTGGTTTCAAACTTAAATGTTTCTGAGGTTTTGCTGTCCAACTCCTTCAAAATCAATTCTCCTGCAAGTCAAATGATTTTGGATGAATCAGAATTTACTGTTTAAAAACTGCTCTGGGAATTTCAGTAGTTTGCCCCAAACACAGCTTGCTGTCATATCTGTGCTCCTCTTTATAGCACAGAGTTGATAACCACACACGCAACTTGGGATCCAGTTTTGAGGCTGGGCCTGCTTTGAGCAAGAGGTTGGACTAGAGACCTCCCAAGTTCCCTTCTGACCTCAGTGATGCCCACAGTCTTTGCCATGGAAAATAATAAATTTGCTAAGAGATAATGGGGGAGGAGGAAGAGGGTGGGGGGAAAACAAGAGGAGAGGAAAAAATCAAGATAGCAGAGGAAAAACAGAGGTAGAGCAATGTGCTTCTCAAAGCCATGCCTAGAGGGGAAAAAGCAAGAAGAGTACTTGTACTTTTCCAAGTTGTAAATTTAAAATTCCTTCCCTGCTTTTCTTCCAAAATATCCCCAAATTAATCTCCTCCAGGAACCCTACAGACCTGATCTCACTTCAGTGGTGGAGTGGGGATTTTCCCAGGTGCGTGAAGCATCTCCAGGAAGGTGACATCTCCAACTGCAGGGAGCATCCATTAATGGGGAAGGCACAGGAGAGCTGGCTAGTTAAGCAATAGGCAAGTGTCTTTAATTTTACCCACTTTGCTTTTACAGAGAGCCAAGAAAATGGCAAGCAGAAATACCAAATCATATGGCAGGAGCCATTGTACGAAGCGAGAGGGTAGAGCAGTCCTGGTCACTGAGGCTCAGGACCCGATGGCAGATGGAGCACTTGACAGATCGAGAGGTTTAGTAAGGTAAGAAGGAGCATTTTGATTATCCAGTACTAACTTTCTCTGCAAGTCTAGAGGCTGCATAAAGTCACTTGGTAATTCTTGCTTGTGCTGGTCTTCCTTGAACTTGGTCTGTTAAGGAAATCAGAGCCCACAGCCACCCTGACTTGAAGGCATGGTAGCGTAGGAGGGACAATGTGACTAGTTCAGCTGCAGCACCTGAACACACGGTGTATTTTGGCTAAGTAGTTTTGGTACTAAAGCAGTGCAAGGTAAACAGTGAGAGTCCTACTGCAGAGAGCTGTCTCCGAGCCCTGCAGCATGCTCAATAAATAGATTGGACATTTGGTGTCGTAATTCCAACAGTGCTCGGTATTGGCTCAGCTCTGCTTTATTCAAAGTCAGTGGGAAGCGCTGACGGCGAGCCAGCACGGCTCTTACAATCCCTTTCTCTCACTAATTACTTCTGGCTGCCATGGAAGCCCAGAGGACTTCAAAGGGATGACACTGGATTTGCACAAGGCTGTCTCTCTGGATCTTCCATCCCAGTTTCTCAGCCCATGGTGGTCCGTAAGGCTTCAGAAGGGGACCCACTAAACAACTGCAGAAAACATTAAAATATATTATGCGTTCCCACAAATGTACATTCCCACACAGACAAAGGCGAGGAAAATGGAGAGAAATCAAAGTACTAAATGAACAATTGAAATGCAGCTTCTTTTTTCTCTTTTTGGCTGTAAATGTAAAAACATGTGCACAAGATGGAGTCGGGTTCTCCAAAAGGTGAAATGGTTCTTAAATAAAATGTGCAGAAGCACATACTCTGCCTTGCATCAAGAGCACTATGGGATCCTGCAGAGGTGGTCCAAGGCCTGGGGCACCAACCTTTGGGGCAAGTGCAAGCCTGAGCCCTTAATCTTACTGACCTCTTGGCGCTTTTAACATCTTGTTCTTAACTAGCTGCACATCTTCCCTCTGGCCAAACACTGCATGCACCCTACTGGCTATGTCTTAGGACTATGTAGCCCTCCTGCCTGTCAGCTAATGCAAGACCAAAGATAGACTGCTCCAAGTGGATCTATTTTGTTTCCTAAAATTATTAATGAGTCTTCAAGGAGTTTCATACACCTCACACATAAGCAATTGCATAGAATCATAGAATCATAGAATGTTTGGGGTTGGAAGGGACCCCTAGAGGTCATCTAGTCCAACTCCCCTGCAGTGAGCGGGGACACTGCTAACTAGATCCTCAACACTTTGCCAGTTCTTGGGGGCCAAATTTTGAAGCAAAATATTGATGCACTGACTTCACTGCAGTGATGCTGCTTTCCCTTGGGTGGTGATGTGCCCTGCTTCTCTATGAGGGGGCAGAGAAACCCTGAGGTGAAGCAATCTGTAACATCCACAGCCATGCCAGGACACACACCAAATCACTGCAATCCTTCCCTGTCTCTCAGCAGCTGGGTCAAAGGGAGAAACTCTGGTCCAAGCTGAGCAGAAAAAGCACGTTTTGGTCTCGGTGGAGGTTTGAAGGAGATGCTTGTGCCAGGGACAGTGATGCCAGCTCAGGGCAATGGGGTAAGGTAGGCTGAGAAGTTATGTTCTCCATGGCCCATGGAGGGGCAGCAAAACATGGCACTGAAACCGCAGCAGCGAAAGTGTCAGAGGCCTTCCTCTTTTATAGAGCGTCGCCCACCCTCTTGGGCCCTTTTGGGTTGGAAAAGTGATATAATAAGACAGTTTCTGTAATAAAGACTTTTGGAGACATCTCCAGCACTACTGCATATCTTAAAAGACAAGGAGGGATGGATTTGTTTTTTACACTAGAGATAATCAACCCATAGTTCTCTGAGCAGTTTCCTACAGGGGGGAGCAAAGGGGAGGGCTGTTTATCTTCAGAAGCTCCATTGGACCCGCTCATGGGGGGGCACCACCTTTGCCTTCAGGAGGTTCAGCCCTTGGGGCCCTGAGCCCCAGAGGATTTTCCAGGCATGATGCTTGAAAAATGCGTCCCAGGTCTTAACTCTGTCCAACATGGAGATGCTTTATAAGCTGTTTTCATAAAACACGGAATTTTTATAACGAGTCAATGAGCTGATGGGATGGCTCTGGACAAAGCAAACAAATAGCATTATCAGACAAATTTAAGTGATTTTGGCCAGACTCTTCTCGTGGACAAAACCAGGTTGGCTCCATTTGCTTCGCTCCTAATTTTCAATGAGGGGAGAAACAGAGGTTTCGACTAAATCATTAAGAAAGCGGTGATTTCAAAACAGCCAGGCAGATCTGAATGGGCTTTTAGTAACCTTCAGAGACTGGCAACTCAGTGGTAAACCCTCTTTATGATCTGTTATTACCTGTACTCTGCTCAGAGGCAGCAAAACTCATTATGGGTGTAAATGGCCAAAGCGCTTCCGTGTACCCGTGCAGGCAAGCTTTAATGCCCTCCCTTTTCCTGCTTCTCAGCGATAAAAATACAGTACTGGTAAAAAATGAGAGCTGCAGAGTCAGCTGCCAGTTTGCTTAGCTTCTGTTCTTGAGGTTTTATTTCGTTGCTGATGTCCAATGGAAGACTGTAGAAAATGTACTTAGTTTTTAGGAAGTCAGCCAGTATGGTACGCTTTCTGTTTTTTATTTAACTGCACATTAAATGTTCCCCTTTGCCCCAAGTTTTATTAAGAAGAAATTAAAGAAAGCCTCGTTAAGTTGGAAACATGGAAGGAAAACAGTCCATCCTGTTGGGCCAAAGAAAGAGCCTCAGATCAGCCCTATGACATTAGCTCAGTTCTCCAGACCTGTTCCAAATATGAGCATGGCAGTCTGAAAAGGGCACGGGAACTGCAGAAATTCCTCTTGTAGAAAACTGGGGAGAAATGAAGGCTGAAAGGGACCTCAGAGTTCATCCGAACTCACAGCTGGTGGATGTTGGTGCAAGCTGATCGTGTTGGGTGATGGAGATCCCTTGACAGCCCTGCGCAACCTCTCCCTGCTATTACAACATTTGCCCTCAAACAGAAAATGTTTCATATCTCTAACAAGCAGAAATGCCAAAGTCCACATGCCAGGCAGCTCTCTCGGCTGTGGGGTGTCACTCCAGAAAAGCTCAAGAAACTGGTCCCATAGAGGAGACCGAGACCTTCAAGAGACAATGCACTGGAGGGTTTCCAATGAGCTCACAGGTCCATTGGCATGTGGAACGATGTCCTGAGCATTGGGGCATGCTCACATTCCCCACTGCTTTTGCTTTCCCATCTCTCCCAGTGCTTTGGCTCAACACTGTGGCACAACCAAAAGCCCACACATTGCATTTGGGCTTGAAGGTGCATGCTAGCATCCATAATCCACCATTGCCTCCGGATGCTTCAGAAACATGTGGGTTTTGGACCACGTTATGCCTGGAATGAACCCATGCAATCTGCCTGGTGCTCTAGGAAAGCACAGAAATCTGTTGCTCTTGGTGGTGTTTCTCCACACCCCACCTGTGCTGGAGTTTCTCAGTGGAAGGAAAAGGCGCAGATTAATTCAGTATTAACTAATACCGAGAGCACCATCTGGTGGGCTGCAGGGCTGGATAACACGGGCAGTCAGAGCTGGGGATGGGCTTGGGGCCTGGAAGCAACCCAGAAGTGCATCTGCTCAGGGCTGTCAAGTGGTAGGGGTCTACCTGGTCCAGCTTCTCACAGCCACCAGCTGGCTGCTTCAGGGAGAAGGTGGAAATAATCCCCACGGTGGCAATTAACAAACATTTCTTCCTGCCTTTGGATGGACGGAGCTTGATGTGCTCCTTAAAGTGTGGAGAAATCCCTAGCTGGGACGACTAAGCTCCCACCATAAATATCCATCCTTTCTCTGAACATGGATAAAATCTTAAAGTCAGTTATGTTGTGGCAGTGAGTTCCATGGGTCTGTGATTTTATATATATACGAGTATATATATTTCTCTTCATATATATAAAAATATGTATCCATTCTAAGTTGGCTGGTATTCAGTGTTACTATCTGTAGCCTTTCCCCGTGAGAGGGACTTAGCAGGGCCATGGTATTGCCACTCCTCATGATTTTGTCCAGAGCCCTGTGATATCCCATTAACTCTTACAAAGACCCTCTATTTGCTGTGCTGAACAAAACCTAGAAAAGGTGACCTTCAAAAAGCAGATGAGCCCCATGCAAATCACACACTGTTTTTAAAGCCTCAATCTTTTCATTGACCCTTCAGCATAACCCCTGAGCTCTGCATGCTTTGGGGTGGGAGGCACCATCCCAAGATGTTATATGGCTTTTGCCAGGCAGCTGATCCTCCTCTTACCTGTATGAAAGCAAGTCAAAGGTGCTCCTTAGCGTTGGAGATCCTTTGCCTGTCCCATTTACTGCTGGTCTCAGGTCTGACTGAGAGGACCTTTACTGCATCCAGCACAATGAGGGATGAACTATCCCAGGCATTTTTTTATGCTATTATCATACAAATTTTGATCCATCAAAGTGTTTCCTATATGCAAGCTGCCAGGGAACATGTCTTTCCACGTGCTTGTGCAATTTGGTGCAAACTGGGGGACTCAGCTTGAGGGGGCCACTCAAGCAGGGCCGCACTATGAAGAGTACAATAACAATAAAGATTTGTGAGATCTCAAGCCATCGCCAGCCTCAGGGGGAGAAGTTCTTGCTTCTCTGAGCTGAACTCCTTTCCTCAGACTCAGTCCACCTGATTTCCATTAAGATATCCTCCAAGCAAAGGTGAAAACTATCAGACTTATTAAGCAATTTTAGCCCAGCCTCAGCTTTCTGCTTCCCTTGCCTGTGGGGTGCTTGTCAAGCTGGCAGTGATGGGTGGGTGATGGCAGGTTTTTTAGAAAATAAACAAAGATATTTTCTATGGCCTGCTCTGCTCCTGCGCCTGCAAGAGGTGAAGGAGATGTTGGCAGAAGTTTGACTGGAAACAGAAATGAATATTACCCGCAAATTTGTTATATCTTAATGGGGTGGCATTGCTGAGCAAGCGCTGTGACTACCTCTGGGGCTCT